AAAGGAGGACAGAAAGAAAGATAAAGAAAAGTCATGTAGATTGCAGGAAGAAAGACGGCAAACTCTTGTTATTCACAGACTACTTGATCGTGTATATAGAAAACAGATTCTCTAGGATTTAGGATAAACAATAACAACAAAAAACTAGAATAAGTGAGTTTAGCAAGGTTGCAGGATACAAGGTGAATATACAAGAATCCAAGTCACATTTCTAGTAACAAACAAGAGAACATGGAAACTAAAAAAAATTTTAAACACCGTACAAAAGGGAAAATCTTAGAATTAAGTATGAGAATAAATGTAAAAAACTTGTACACTGAACACTATAGAACATTCCTGAGATAAGTTACAGAAGATCTGAGTAATGGAGAGATATATGTTCATGGGTTGGAAAACTCAATATTGTTAAGATATCAATTCTCCCCAAATTAATCTATGGATTCAAAGTCCCAGCAAAATTTTTAATATGTAAAAAGTAACTTATTCTAAAATTCATATGGAAATGAAAAGGACATACAATGGCCAAAACTACTTTGAAATAGAACTAACTTGGAGGACTAATACTATTTGATTTCAAGATTTATGATAAAGCTACAGTAATTAAGACAGTGTAGTATTATCATCAAGACAGACAAATAGATGAACGAAGAGAATACGAAATCCAGAAATAGACCCACACATATATGGACAGCTGAATTCTTACAAAGGTGTAAATGCACTTCCGTAGAGAAGGGATCGTCCTTTCAACAATGATACAGGAACAATTAGATATCCACTTACAAACAAATTTAGATGAATACCTCATACCATATACAAAAATTAACTCAAAATGGTTCATATATCTAATGGTAAAGCCTAAAATCTTGCAACTTCTATAAAACAGGAAAAAACCTATTCAGCCTTAGATTAGGCAAAGATTTCTTACCTATGACACCAAAAGCGTAATGCATAAAAGGAAAATTATGTAAACTGGACTTCATCAAGTTAAAAAGCTTGTGTTCTTCCAAAACGCTGTTAAGAGAATGAAAAGAAAAGGCATAGGCTTGGGAAAATATTTGTAAACCTCACATCTGATCGACTTGAATACAGAATATATATAGAACTCTCAAAATTCAACAATAAAAAAGTAAACAACACAATTAAAAATGGGCAAAATATTTGAACACAAAAGCAGATATATGTATGGAAAATAAGCACACAAAAAAGATGTTCAATATCATTAATAATTAGGGAATTGCAAACTAAGACCACAATGAGTTACCACTCCACGTCTATTAGAAAGGCTAAAGTAAAAACACAATAAAACAAACAACAGAACAAAACAAAACCTGACAATAGGAAGTGTCATTGAGTTTGAAGAGCAAACTAATCTCTCATACATTGCTAGTGGGAATACTCTGTAGAGCCACATTAGAAAACATTTTTGGCATCTCATAAGGTTCCTTCATGCAACTTTGCAGACTATAATTCCCCCCTCTTGAGATAACCACTATTCTTAATTCTATAAACATTTAGTTTTGCCTATTCTTGTTTTTAAGAACAGTCAAGGGTCTTTGTTTTTTTTGTTGTTGTTGTTGTTGAAAGTATGATTTTGGTGAGGACGATTGGCCCTGAGCTAACATCTGTTGCCAATCCTCCTCCTCTTTTTTTCTCCCCAAAACCCCAGTACATAGTTGTATATCCTAGTTGCAGGTCCTTCTAGTTCTTCTATGTGGGATGCCACCTCAGCATGATGAGCAGTGTGTAGGTCCACACCCAGGATCTGAACCGGTGAACCCTGGGCCACCAAAGCAGAGCATGTGAACTTAACCACTACACCACTGGGCCAGCCCCTGCCTATTCTTGACATTGATTTAAAATGGAATAATAAAAGTATATACTATTTTGTGCCTCACTTCTTGTACTGAATGTACTATCTGTAGCAGTCATCCATATTGCTGTGAGTACCAGCAGTTCATTCTCAAATACTGTCTAGAATTCCATTGTATGAATATATCACAATTTACTTATCTATTTGCCTAATCCAGTTTTACCTCCTTAAAACAAGTTGCTGATTAATCAAAACTTGTTCAATAACAGAGACAGCACTGCACATGTGCTGGGTGGGAACGCATTGCCCTAGGATGACCCCAGCCTTCAATAAGGAAAATCTGGCTTCCAGCAGCCCAAGTACTTTGATTACTGATTCAAGTCTAGCCATGGGCCAAGGTGCAGCTTACTAGCTCCTAACTCCTTAAATTTTGCTCTGAACTTTGGATGTGGGAGATGGATTTGAGAGCCTTGCATCTTGTCTCCTTGCCAGTTGACTTTGCAATAAAGCCTTTTCTTTTCTCAAAAGCCAGTTATTGGCTTCTGTGTACATCAGGTAGTGGACCTTTACCTGGTAACACTAGTAATATATTGAAAGGATAATACACCACAATTAAATGAAGTTTATTCCAGGAACACAAGGTTGTTTTATCAATTAAGAATCAATCATGTTATGAACAGACAATATTCCAATGAAGACATGCAGATGGCCGACAGACACATGAAGAGATGTTCAACATCACTAATCATTAGGGAAATGCAAAGCAAAACTACAGCGCAATATCATCACCTTACACCTGTTAGAATGGCTGTAATTACCAAGACACAAAATAATAAATGTTGGAGAGGGTATGGAGAAAAGGGAACCCTCATACACTGCTAGTGAGAATGTAAACTGGTGCAGCCACCGTGGAAAACAGTATGGAGATTTCTCAAAAAATTAAAAATAGAAATACCATATGATCCAGATATCCCACTACTGGGTATTTATCCAAAGAACTTGAAATCAACATTTCAAAGAGATATATGCACCCCTATGTTCATTGCAGCATTATTCACAATAGCCAAGACATGGAAGCAACCCAAGTGTCCATCAACTGATGAATGGATAAAGATGTGATATATATACACAATGGAATACTACTCAGCCATAAAAAGACAAAATCATCCCATTTGCAACAACATGGATGCAACTTGAGGGTATTATGTTAAGTGAAATAAACCAGACAGAGAAAGACAAGCACAGCATAATTTCACTCATATGTGGAAGATAAACACATGAATAAAGAGAACAGATTAGTGGTTACCAGAGGGGAAGGGGGTAGGAGGTAGGGCAAAAGGGGTAAAGGGGCACATATGTATGGTGACGGATAAAAATTAGACTATTGTTGGTGAGCACAATGCAGTCTATATAGAAACTGATAAATAATAATGCACACCTGAAATTTCACAGTTATAAACCATTATGACCTCAATAAAATAATTTTTATTGGCTGAGAAAAAGTCAATCATGTAATATGCTATACTACCCAAAAGAAGAATGTAATAGACAATAATGATCTCTCAAAGATGTCTGTATTGTAATCCCCAGAACCAGAGAATATACAGCAACAGGGAATTAAAGTTGCAGACGGAAGTAAGGTTTCTAATCAGTTGACCTTAAAATGGGGAGATTATTCTGGATTATCTAATCACATAAACTCTTACAAGTGGATGAGGGAGGCAGAGGAGTGGGTTAGAGAAATACCATGTGAGAAAGACTAAACCCACAATTGTTGACTGTGAAGATGGAGGAAGGGGGCCAGGAGTCAAGAAACGTGGTGGCCTCTAGGAGCTGGCAATAGGCCTCAGTTTCCAGACAGCAAGAAAATGGGATGTGGGTCCTACAACCACAAAGAACTGAATTCTGCCAAAAGCCCAAATGAACAATAAATGGATTATCCCCTAGCATCCCCAGAAAGGAACATAGCCTGCAAATACCATGACTTTGGTCTGGGAAGACCCATACCAAACTTCTGGCATACAGAACTGTAATATGATAAATCTGTTGTAAATTTGTGATAATTTGTTAAGACAGCAACAGAAAACTTATACAAAGAAAAAAATCCATATGATCATCCCAAAGAAACAGAAAATATGTTTACCTTTCATTTCTTGCTATTAAAAAATAGAAGGGCCGGCCCTGTGGCCGAGTGGTTAAGTTCACGTGCTCTGCTTCAGCAGCCCAGGGTTTTGCTGGTTTGGATCCTGGTCCGGGACATGGCACCGCTCATCAGGTCATGCTGAGGGGGCGTCCCACATAGCACAACCAGAGGCACTCACAACTAGAATATACAACTATGTACTTGGGGACTTTGGGGAGAAGAACAAAGGAAAAAAAAGAAAGAAGATTGGCAACAGTTGTTAGCTCAGGTGCCAATCTTTAAAAAAAAAGATAAAAATGCATGGGTAGCATCCTGGAATTTTTGGAAGCAAGATATATCATATTTATATGCCCTGGTAGGACTCTTTTACTGAAAAGTCTGTATGGATGCAGGCAGAAGTGCAAACTATCCTGCTCCTCAGAAATTATAACACGGTAAATCAAACTCTCTTTAAAACATATAAGGCAAACAAGCAATCATGGTACACATCATCAGTAATGAAATATATTAACATTATGAGGACGTTGGCATGATATAATGACTGACATGATATCTTCTCAGTGGTATACTAGGCAGAAATAACTCATGCTAATCATGAGAAAGCATCAGACAAAGGCAGAGGGGCAAGTCACAAAATGATTCACCAATAATCTTCCAACGTGTCATCGTGGAAGGCGGGCTACGGCACACGCAAGGGGAGTGGAGAACAGGGAGGATGTACATTAGGTAGGCTCCTCAGATCCAGAGCATTTGGATTATCCCCTCTCCAAGTGCAGCTGACCCCTGCCCTAGTCCCCAAGACAGCCCCAGGCCACCTAGGATAACCTCCACTCCAAGCCTTTCATTCCAACGCCGCCTCCTCAAGCGGGCAATAGGCCCGCCCCCTTTCCTCCCTCCTGGTCCACTCCTGCGCGGCTCCCCGTCTGGCGCCTGCGCACTAGCGATCACCCGACCCTGTGGGCGGGGCCGCGCAGGCGCCGGTACCGCCCATGGCCCCGCCCACCCTGGCTTTGGGTCCGCCTCCGCGCACACGCACTTCCCGCCACGCCTCCCTGCCCACCTCGGCCGAGCCCCGCAGAGCCCAACCAAGCGAGCGCGGCGCGATGGACGGCCGAGTGCAGCTGATCAAGGCCCTCCTGGCCCTGCCCCTGCGGCCCCAGCCGCGACGGTGGAGGAACCCGATTCCCTTCCCCGAGACGTTCGACGGCGACACCGACCGGCTCCCGGAGTTTATCGTGCAGACGGGCGCCTACATGCTAGTGGACGAGACCCTGTTCTCCAGCGATGCCCTGAAGGTGACGTTCCTCATCACCCGCCTCACGGGGCCGGCCCTGCAGTGGGTGATCCCCTACATCAGGAAGAAGAGCCCCCTCCTCAATGATTACCGGGGCTTCCTGGCCGAGATGAAGCGGGTCTTTGGATGGGTGGAGGACGAGGACTTCTAGGCCAGGAGACCCTCGGCCTGGGGGCGGGTGCTCGGGGAGGGTCCGCTGCGCCAGTGGCCGCCGCCCAGATCGCGACAGGCGTCCTCCCGCCACGCCTCCCCCTCCCTTACCTTCGAGTCGCCGCGATCTCCCCCGCGCTCCTGTCCCCTCCCGCGTAGTGCTTGCCTCTGTTCCAGGAATAGCACTCCAGGTTCCCGCTGCTGCCGCTGGGCCTCGCTCTGGAGCGCGCCGCCGCCGCCCCCTCTGGCCTGCCCGGGCCCTCCCGTGCACACTTGGCTCTGCCTGTGCTCCAGCTGCAAGCTGGGCTCCGGTTACCCTCTGGACAGACCACTCACAGCCCGCCCCCTTGCCGGACTCCCGGGCCTGCATCGATGTGCCCAGAGACCTGCGCTGCCGCCGCCATCACCATCCACCGCATCCCACCGACAGACTGCAGCCTCCAGCGATCTGGACTCACCCGGGAGGTGTCTGAGCAGGCCACGGCCCCTGGACCACGATTCAGACAGCCCACTGCCCCCCCTGTGAAGGGGCCGCCAGCCTTTCACCGTCAGCGGGACCCATTTCCTCCCTACTCCCAGAGACAACTTCTGCTCCTGCCAGATGGCCGCCAGGTCCCAGGAGTGCCTGGCAGCTAAATCGAGCCACTTGTTTTCTCCTGTGGACCTGTTAGTTTTGCCCAGAATCCAGTTCTCTCCTGAATTTGCAGCTGTCTCTCTGATGTGTGCCTTTTGTTCAACACAGTCACCCCTGCACTCTGCCCGGCTCTTCTACACTACCTGGACAAAAGTCTTTTCCTTATTTTCAATAAATGTCAGACGCTATTAAAAAAGAAATTGAGTCTCAATGACTGTGGTGCCTCTCCCTCCCTGGTCCAGTACCTGGGGTCCGTGTCTTGTTCAGCAGGTATGTCCCCTGCCATTGTGTGGCTGATGTTGAGTCTTCATCTAAAACAGAAAAGATAATCGGTGGTGGTCCCGGTGATGGGGACCCTGCTAGTAGATCATTCAATCCCAGATGCTGACTCTTCTGAACCACTCAGTTCCATGAAGCAACGGACCTTGATCTGATTTTGGCCAAGGTGAGGTAAAGAGAAGCGAGCCAGCATGCTGTTGGCAAAGATTTCCTCATTTCTAAGAAGCTGCTGGGAAGCACACCACCTGACTTTTACAAGCCATAAATCCTACACATTTGTTGCTGAGCACCTGCCATAGTTTTCTTTAACCCATTTTTCAGGGAACCAGCAGAATGACAGGTGCTTCAGAAAAAACATTTACATTTATAGAGTCTGAGTGTGTGAGTAGTGGAGAAAGGAATGTAGCACTGAGATGGTTAGTTTAGGTACAAACCTGGTTGATCACCTGCAGGACAATAAAATTGTAACTTTAATGGGCGGAAAAGAAAAAAGTGTTGTTCTTTACTGTGTCTCTGTGTGTTAACCTCTACATCTGCAGTGCTGGAAGAAAGCCTCTGCTCCCTCATCTGTCGCTGGGGAAAGTTGAATATCCTAATAAAGTCAGATAAAAGATGGGCTTAGAGGACAGCACTCAATCAACTGCCTCATTTCTAATTTGGGTGATTTTTCCAGGACATACAATAGAGGATTCAGTCACAACAGTGGTTTTCACTGTGTTTTCTCTCTTTCTTCATTTGAGCAGGTAAACTGTTGCCTATCATGAGCAGTGGTCCATAGGGCTGTACATGGAGCTGGAGGCACATTGTCTCCATTATGTATCTGGTAATGTTTTTACTCCCAGGAATAGTGGAAACGTCATTCACTTGCAATTTGGCTTGTGGTGGGTCAAAGTCTTGAAATCAGAGGGAATATTTGACTGACTTAATAAATAAAATGAAGTTGTTAGGGTTCGCAGGGTTCTTAAGACAATTGAAAGCAGCTAATTATGAGGTTCCAATTCAAGGTGCTGTCAGCCTACCTTCTGGCATGGGTTCGAAGGATGACTGTGTTAAGCGTATTCCCTTCTGGTTTTAAATACAGATTCTGATAAAGTGGTTTGAAAATTGTTATGGAGTTGGTCCAGCGTATTCCCTCTGATCTGTGTCCCACCTGGCTCTAGAGGTCTGTAGAATGGGCAGGGGCTACTGGGTATTCTTTGAACAATGTCAGTAACCCCCTACGTGCCTCAACAGAAATGCCCCTGCGTTTTCTTCCTCCTGCCAGAATGGCTCTGTTAGGGAATTGTACATTGGTCTACACCAGTCGGATCCTCCCAAGTCCTTTTTCGTGATAAAAATATCTTGGGGAGGGATATTATTTTTCCAGAATTAATCATGAACATCTTAGCAAGATTCCACAAAGGGACAGAAGAAATGGCATTTGTAAAACGAGAAGGGGTGCTATTTTTCATTGCTTTGCAATCTCATCCCTTGCAGTTGTCATTTTATTTCCTCTCCTTCATTTTCTACTCTAATCCAAACAAGCAACCACACTTGAGAAGTAGACAATACCAAGAGACTGAGAAGGGAAGAGGAATGCAGAAGCTACTGGGCAGAAAACGAAATGAGCTTCCAAAAAAATCTGATGGGAAGTGAATCCCGTGAAATGCCCAGTATAAATAAATTAGGGAAGGCCACCACCTCCTACAGAAACCTGTACCAATTTCTGCTGATATCATTCAAACGAACCCACCCTCAGTATTCCTTCCTGGAACACACCATGCGCTATGAGAGAAGGGCACCAGCCAACCACTAGGGCTGCAACAGTTTTTATCAGTCCAAGTGGTTTGTGTTCTTGGAGGGGGCAACACCTGCAGTGGGACAGGCATTACATTGTGTGATAGTATCATTTTTTGTTATCTGGAAGAGAATTCACCCTAGAACATGGGAGCCTATTGGCTTGTAAATGGCCATCTTCTCCTTATGTCTTTTCACATGTCTTCCGTTTATGCTTGTTTGTCTCTGTGTCCACATTTCCCCTTTTTATACGGACACCAGACATACTGGATTAGAGTAAAATGACCAGCAGAATGTCAGAGATGCTTCAGAAAAGCATTTATATTTATAAAGCTTTGTGTAAGTAGTAGAGATAGGAATGCAGAACTGTGATTGTTAATTTAGGTACAAACCTGGTTGATGACCTGCAGAACAATAAAGTGATAACTTTCTCAAATAGGCAGAAAAGGTAAAACCTTATTCCTTACTGTTTCTCTGCATGGTAATCTCTTAAATGTACAATGCTGAAAAAAGCCTCTGCTACCTCATCTACAGCTGGGAAAAGTTAAATATCCCAATAGAGTCAGATAAAGGTGAGCTTATAGAAGAACACTCAATCAACTCTCAATTTTAACTTGATTACCACTGCAAAGACTCTATCTCCAAATAAGGTCATGTATTGGAGGTTTGGACTCCAACACCTTGTTTTCTGGGAGACAAAATTTGTGGAAATTAATAGAAGAATCCTTAACTAAATTGAAATTGGGAAGGCTTGTAGGGGGAGTTCTCACGCCCTATCATGCATGGTCAATTACACTAAACAGGAAGAGGCTGATGCTTGCACCTTCCACAGGAAGTTAAAACTACTTTACTACTGAAGGAAGATTTCTCTACTCACCAGGCAACAGCTCAGCTAATGAGAAACCGTTGCTACCCTGAACTGTTACTTTCCCCCAGTGGACTTTTGTTTAGAACAGTCCCTCTCTACTCCCCCTTTTTCTCTATAAAAGCAAGCTCCCCTCATTTGTTTCCTAGATTTGTCTATGGTTTGCCATAGCATGCATATCTCGAATTGCAATTCTTTTAGATATTCCTGAATAAACTCATTTTCAGGGTAAAATAGGCAAATTTGCCTTTTAATTTGACAACTTCAACTAATAATACGTCCCATGTTCCTATCAGTGTCTCATGAGATAGACTCTCTAGCCTGTTCTGATCATGTGGCTTCTTTTTATATATCCTGTATATCATTTCAGTCTGAAACGGATAGAAGATGTGAGGGAATTCACCTCTCTTTAAAAAGGAAGAGGTCCTTGTAACATCCTTTCAGTGCAGCAAGTCTGTGGGAGGAGAGAGAGAGAGAGAGGGAGGGAGAGGGGGAAGGAAAATTAACCTTAGCGCAATACAGAACTTCAACCCCTATATTGGCTCCTGAGCATGTACACAACCTTTTTTTTCTGGTCCATCTTACACAGCTTTTCAGAAGACTTTTTAGATATATCAGTATACTCACTCGGCAATCTTCTCCTCCCCATCAGAAGTGTCCCCTAGATCTATATATCAGGCTTAGGACCTAGATAATTTTTGGAATTATAAATTGTCCTAATAATTTCTTATACATTTCAAAATCTCTACATGACATTATAATGCAGAGACACAAGAGAGTACTAGCGACACAGATGTTTTTACAACAACATTTTGAAATTTGAAAAATTATTATATTCGTCGTGAATTACATTGGTGCATTCAGCTCTCTAATCTTTATCAGATTGCATGTCTTAGATGGTTAACATATATTATTATATGCCTAGTGTTAGTATAATGCTTTCACAATTCATTAGCCATCCACTTTAACTCTTCTCTGCAAACCTTGACTGATCATTTGTCAGTCAGTGACTTATTTATTATGTACTACCTGTGTCCCAGGCACCATGCCATGAACTATGATACATCGTTGCAAAATTATGGCACAGGTCTTCAAGGAATTTAGAGTCCATTTGGCCATAGTGGAAATACAATATGTATATAGAGTCTCAGCTTTGGATTTGATTAAAAAGGGCTTCAATCTGTGCTTGGTCACACCAGCTGTATGACATTACACAAATTTCTTAAACTTCCTAAGCCATTATTTCGTCACACGTAAAGTGGGTAAAATAATAATACTGAATTCCTTATGAGAAATCAATAAGCTAACAAATATAAAGTCTGAGCATTCACTAAATGGGACTTAATGTAACTATAATAACAATAATTTTTATTATACTTGTAGGGTGTGGTAACTACTTGGGGCTTGTATATGACAATGGGAGCGTAAGATAAAGAGCATTTAAATATACCCTAGGTGAAGCACAGACCATCTCTATAGAGGAAGTAATAAATCATTTGAGACTTGATTCCATTCTAAGAGGGCCACCTCTATCCGAGGTTCAGAAGAATGAGAGACTGTGGTTTGTATATAAAAGTCAGGGACAGGACATGGTAGGAGTTGAGATGGCACAGACAGAAGGCTACATCATGAAAAATCTTGTTTGTCATGCTAAGGCATGTATCAATTATCCTGTATTCACTGGGGAACGGTGCAAGTATATTGAATAGGGGACCGATGTGATTAGGTTGTGTTTTAGCATTCACTCTGGGGCTGATGTTCAAGATAGATTGTGGGAAGATGGAATGTGGGCCAAGTCCAGTAACAAGCACTTTGCAGGTGATAGTTATCGAGGGCTTAAAGACAAAGAGGATGGGGAGATAAAAGTGACTTTCAGATTTGTCGGAACTTGGTGATTAGTTGGAAAGTGGAGGTTGGAGAGAGGTAGGGATCTTGGATGGGCCCAAGTTTCTGGCTTAGGCAATTGGGCCATTCTTGGACCTGACATGGGCCAGCCTTTTTGATTCCTTTGCATGGAATATTTTGCATTTCCTCATTGCTTTCCTGTGACTTTCACCAAACTAATTACTATTCACTGGATCTGTTCAATTTATTCAGAATTTCTTCCACTGAGGCTATTTTAGTAGTTCCTCTAATAGGCATCCCAGAGGTCCTCAAACTTTCATACAGCACCATGTTGAAATGGGATGAATCTCATTAAATTGTGGATATTCAATCCATTTTTTAACAGATTTAAAACTCGACTTTAGGCCAAGTTATAATTTACATGCAATAAAATCACCAGTTTTAAGCATACACTTCAAAACATTTTGAAATACATAAATACATATATACATATATACGTGTGTGTGAGTATATGAGTGTATTAATCACTTCCTATCCACCTTTTTGGTGAGGGAAGGATTCCTGCCCTAGGGTTATGGGGATGGCTTAACACTTGATACTGGGCACACAAGAGCAACAGCAGTTTATTAGTCACATATATTCACGACCCAGGAGAGGAGGACACTGCACACCACACAGAGGGTTGCATTTGGAAACAAAGTGAGCAAGTGGGGGCTGTGGGAGGCAGGCTTTGTAGTACCAAGAGGATGTGGTGCCCTGGTTCCTGGCAGAGGTTGCGATTGGCTTGTTTGAACAATTCCTTGTGCTGACAGGAAACTGAAACCCGCAACTTAGAGATAAGCAAGAACTGCACCAGGTCTCCCTGATAAGAAGAGTTGTTTGGCTGGCGGACCCCCTCTACAAGAGCAGAGGGGGGAGGGGAACTTGTAGTTAGGGCATTTGCAGTCCTCCCAGTTTCCCCAAATGTCAAGGGAGCACATAACATTGGGCCT